TGCTTACTTCTATTCACTCTTTGGATCCTCCCCTGCTAGGACCTTGATCTCAGGCCTCCGGGGTTGCCCTTACACACAGGCCGTATTCGCCCTTCGAAATCTCCGATGGCCTCCCCCGTCTTCTTCGTTAAGAAAAAGGACGGAGGGCTTCGGTTTGTCCAGGACTACCGCGCCCTCAACGCAATGATGATTAAGAACCGGTACCCCCTTCCGTTGATTAACGACCTTATCAACAGGCTCAAGGGCGCTCGCTGGGGTTTTAATAACGTCTGGATTAAAGAAGGAGACGAGTGGAAGGCGGCCTTTCGGACTAACCGAGGGTTGTTCGAACCTTTGGTGATGTATTTCGGCCTGACGAACTCCCCCGCGACGTTCCAAACGATGATGAATGACATTTTCCAGGATCTCATTCTTTCAGGCGACGTTATGATCTACCTCGACGACATCCTTATCGCACATTCGGACCTCCGCAAGCACCGCGAGATCGTCCGGGAGGTCCTTCGGCGGCTCGAATGCACAAGTTGTACCTTCGCAAGGAAAAGTGCGACTTCGAGAAATCGTCAATCGAGTACTTGGGGGTCATTATCTCGCACAACCATGTCGAAATGGACCCCGTTAAGGTCGCCGGAGTCTCCGCATGGCCTCCGCCCGAAAACAAGAAGGACGTTCAGCAGTTCCTGGGGTTTGCTAATTTCTACCGCAGGTTCATTCGGGATTTCTCGGCCCTAGCGCAACCTCTCTTTGCGCTCACCAAGAAAGACCAGAAATGGACCTGGGGAGACGCCTTGGCCGCCGCCTTTCAAGCCATCAAGGACGCGGTCGTATCAGAACCTGTCTTAGCGATCCCGGACGACTCTCGGCCTTTCCGACTTGAAGCAGACAGCTCAGATTATGCGACGGGGGCGGTTCTTTCACAACAATCCGCCCCCGGACGGGAAGTGGCACCCTGTAGCGTTCTATTCCAAAAGCTTAAATGATGTCCAGCGCAACTACGAGATTCACGACAAGGAGATGCTCGCGATCATCCGCGCACTCGAGGAGTATCGGCATTTCCTCGAGGGCACCGCGCATCCGGTTGAGATCTGGACTGACCATAAGAACTTGGAATACTTCCGAAAGGCGCAACACCTTAATCGTCGGCAAGCCCGATGGTCGTTGTACCTTTCTAGGTTTGACTTCACGCTGCACCACGTCCCAGGTCGCCAGATGGGCCGCCCAGATGCTCTCTCCCGCCCGGCCTGACCACGGCATCTCCGAAGACAACTCGGACGTCACCCTCTTGCGCCCCAAGCTTTTCCACGTTCGCGCGCTCGAGGCCGTCACTGTCTCCGGGCCGGGCTCCGAACTTGTCCGTGACATCAAGGAAGCGCTATCCGGTGAGCCTGACCTAGAGGAACCCGTCGCACTTGCGGCTCGGCAACTCTTGAAGGTCCGAGGTCAAGCTCGGGGCCCCCGCTCATCGCGTTCGGACGAGTGGGCCGTCTCAGGCGACCTCCTGTACTTCCGCGGCAAGGTCGTAGTCCCCAAAGACAAAGACCTGAGGAGGCGCATTATAGAGCTCTGCCACGACACGCGTGTCGCCGGACATGCCGGGCGGTTCAAGACCCTGGAGTTGGTTTCGCGCAACTACTGGTGGCCACAGATGTCCCGCCATATCGGACGCTACGTCGCGACCTGCGACTTATGCTGTCGTACGAAGGCCCTCCGAAGGCTTCCGCACGGGGAGCTACATCCAACCGAAGTCCCCCCCGAGCGCTGGCACACCGTCACTGTGGACTTCATCGTCGAGCTCCCCGAGGCCCATGGGTATGACGCGGTTATGGTAGTGGTTGACGCCCTCGGGAAACGCGCTCACTTCACCGAATGCCATACGACAATAGACGCGGTCGGAGCTGCCCGCTTGTACTATCGGAACGTCTGGAGACACCACGGAACCCCCGAGAAGTACATTTCGGACCGCGGTTCGCAGTTCATCGCTGACTTTACGCGCGAACTCTGGCGCTTAATTGGCGTCAAGCCGGCTACCTCTACGGCTTACCACCCGCAGACCGACGGACAAACCGAACGCGTTAACCAGGAGCTCGAGCAGTACATCCGAATCTTCACCAACTACCAACAAGACGACTGGGACGAGCTTATCCCTGCCGCTGAGTTCGCCTATAACAACCACGTTCACTCCTCCACTCAACAGGTACCCTTTATGACAGACACTGGCCGGCTCCCCCGAATGGGTTTCGAGCCGGGCACCCGCTCAGAGTTGGAGTCAGTGAACGAGTTTCGCGATCGGATAGCGAACGGCGTCTCCGAGGCGAAGGCCGCGCTCGTCAAAGCCAAAGTATAAATGGTACTACGATCGGAGACGATCGGACGCTCCGAATATTCAAGTTGGTGATAAGGTTTGGTTAGATGCCTCTGACATCAGAACAACTCGGCCCTCCGAGAAGTTCTCCCACAAGCGCCTCGGACCGTTCAAGGTGCTCGCAGAGGTTAGCAAAGGTGCCTACAAGCTCGACCTCCCCCCGCGTTACTCCAAGCTCCACCCCGTCTTCCCCGTTATTAAACTCGAGCTCGCTCAGGACGACCCCCTTCAATGGACGACCCGGCTACGACGAACCGCCCCCGAACTAGAGGACGGAGTCCCCGAATGGGAAGTCGAGGAAATCTTGGATGCCAGGATAAGGTATAAGCGTCTTAACTACTTCGTCAGGTGGAAAGGCTACGATGCTTCGCACGACTCGTGGGTTCGGTTAGACCGTGTCTTCGCGCCAGACAAAATTGCGGACTTCTATCGGAGGTACCCAGGTAAACCACGGCACATCGCCTCAGCGACCTTCGACTCCTTGCCCTTCCGAACTATGCGTCGGGACGGCCGCATTCAAAGGGGGGGGTGATGTCAGGGGAACCCCCGCTTCGGCCTCCTTCGGACCCTCCGAACGCATCCGAGGCGCATCCGACCGGCGCCCCCTCGGACGCTCCGACCCACCCCGACCATCGTCCACGGCCTCCTTCGCCCGCACAATCACCGATCCGTCAAGACCCTCCCAACGATCACCTTGGGACAGAGCCTGCGACGCCGCTCAGGCTCTCTGCGCTCTACGTCAGCAGTTACGGACGACCAGTATATAGTTGGCGCCCTAGCAGGCGGACCCTTAGAGTTTCTTCTCTTTGGATCCTCCCCTGCTAGGTCGGTCCCTCCGTGTATTTCCTGTAGTCTTATTCACGCTTTGGATCCTCCCCTGCTAGGCTTTTCGTCGGAGTCTCCAGGGTTGCCCTTACAATATTCATGATTCAAAAGTTGAACCCCCCAGGCCCCTTGGTTGCAATATCTCAATGACTCGGAGGTGAGTGTCAAAGACAACTCAAACACCCTCATTCTCAGAGATTGACGGCCTTCAGAAGATTCAAGATAAGGAAACAACCTTGCGTCGCACCTCTACGGCGAGTGGCCCTGTATGGCACGATCAAGTGCAAACCCAATTGCAGTAGGACGGAAGTGTGCACAGTTTGGCTCATACATATATCATTTACAGCTCCCTTCAAGTTATGCCATTGCAGCCCGGACATTGCTGCTGGATAGCAGCACATCCCATGATTCATGGACCATCCACCATATGACAGTCAGCTCTGCCCAGACGTTGCTGTCCAAACCACCTCGATGACCTTCTTGTAGTTGTGGATTCACATCAATTCCAGTGATGTTCTTAGAGCGATGTCGCCAGACACCCCCACAGAACCCTGCAGGGCCTCTGAATGCATCAATGACTGTGAGCTGGTTATGCATTCAAGTTGATGTTCAATACTTATGGCATCTCTGATTGAAAAACATGCATACCCGAAACCCGGTGGGTGCAAGCACCCCTTCCCCGCGTTGGTTGAATCCCACAGTGAATTCCAGGACATAGCGAGTTGTAAAAACACCCTGATTGTCCATTGCCGTTGCCCTATATCTTTAGCAAAATCTGAGGATAACAAACTTCACATATGACTGAAAAGAAGGACTGACGTGTGGGTGTAGTAGCCGGCGTAGGTGCCATTGCGCTCCAGCAGCACGGTGTGGTCCAGGTTGTGGAAGCTGATCTGGCGCAGTAGCTGTGCCGGTGCCTTATGTATGTACTGGTACTCGTATGCAGGGGGGATAATGAAGAACGGGTTCGTCGTGTATGCAGAGGCGAGATAGACAATGAGGTAGGGGCTTGAGCGGCCGCGGGTTGGAAGCACTCTGGAGTACTCAGCGTACACAGCCCGCGCGCTCAGCCGCACGAGTGTGGCGCCTGCATCCGGGAGCAGCCAGATACTCTCAGGACGCTGCTGCTCCAGCGTCCATTTGATGACATAGGGCTTGGGCTGGGTATACGCGCGCCGGAAGGTCTGCATCCGGTCAGTTTGTTTGTTAACTCAACAGCAAAAGAATTCCGCACTCCACTGGCACTCATCAGCGTCTAGACTTGGAGTGGTGTTGATGTTCGAGTTCTTCCTCCACACTGGCAGTCGAAAGTAGAGCGAAGCTACGGGTCACTGTCGCGCTGCGACGTTCGCTGTGGTGAGTAATAGGAGCTAATTATATGAACTAGCCGGCCTTTTATCTGTCAACTTGAAGGATGATCAAAATGGCAATTGTTGTAGTTTTTACAAAAGAAAGTCATGTTGTTCAATTGCCCGCGATCTTGTTGATCTGCTAGTGTGCCAGCAGCCAGCCTGAGTGGGTCCAGCATATGGTCCACAGCGGAGAACAACTTGAAGGACACCCGTCGTCAATGGCAATTGTTGTAGAAAGGCATGTTGTTGTCAGTGTATATTCCTTGTTGTGCTTGTGGGCCAGTAAGTACCCACTATGTAACCGACTATTGCTGGCATGACAACCCCAAACAAATAGCTAAATACAAGCATGCCGCCTTGCAGGCCGCTACCGTGTATACCTAAATTACCGTCCCCGTGCGAATAATCTACTTATCAGTCCATCCCATCCCATCCCATCCCAATAAATACATAAACTTTCCGCGTCACCGGTCCGCCTCTCCCTCCGAATCCGCGATGTACGGCGGCGGCGGCGCCCCGGCGAGCGTCGCCTCGAGCTGTGCGAGCCGCGCCTCGAGCAGCCGCTCGCGCGCGGTCACCGCGGACGTTGGCGTGCCCGTGCTCGGCGTGTCGGGCGACAATGGAGACGGGTGTGTTTCTGTTTGGGTGTGCAGACCCGGGAGGAGCCGGGCCGTCGACGCCGTCGCGGTACCGGTAGGCAAGGCGCCGTACCCCGCTTCCCCTACACCAACAATCCATCAGCTTCGAATTCAGGATTGAAAACTGCACTCACGCGCTTTCGAGAGCTGCTCCGCCGACACGCCTGTCTCCACGTCCGTCTCCACAAACGGATGCACGAGCAGATGGCCTCTTCCACTCCCATCGGTCCGTCGGGCTTGTAGTCCGTGACCGGCCGCGCAACAAGGAGGCTGTGTCGCCGTCGCTGGCGGCCCTTCCGTCTGTGCAGGCAAAGAGCCAGGCCAACGATGATCGCGGCCCCGAGTGTGCCAAACACGGCGCCGAGGATGGCAGCAATGTGCGACGCAGACTTGGGCGGGGCGGCTGCAGGAGGGCCAGAGGCCCCGGAGTTGGTACTGGGTGAATTGGAGTTGGACACAGTGTTAGTAGTCGCTCCGGAAGAGACAATGGCGCCCGCCGCGCTGCCAGCCGGGGTGGAGTGGGTGCTGGGCGGTCTACAGACGATAAGGTCAAGTAACGCAGGGCGGGATGGGGCTCACGAGGAAGACAGTGAATGCGGTCCAGACCCTGTCAGGGGCACAGAAGTCGTCGCACCGGTGCCGCCACCGCCCTGTGGCGCGGGTCCCGGTCCCGGTCCCAGTCCGGGCGCCGGATCGCGATCGGCGGTCCCGGCGGTAACTACTGCGTAGTCGAATAGCGCCGCCTGCAAGTCCCGGGGGCTGCCACCATGCGTATTGAACACCCACGACACCGTGTGAGGGCCATTGGTCAGTCCAGAGGCAGAGAAGAACAGGGTGCGGTACAAGAACCGCTCGCTGCCGGCGTACCAGAATGTTGAGGAGGGGGAAGAGTCGAGCGTGAAGACGTGTCCTGCGCGATGCCGTTGATGGTCCCGCCTGTTCTCTGGGCGCTGCCCCGCATGTGGAACGTACCGCCCTCGACCTGGCAGGGGCCCGCCACGTGTCTTCGTCGACGTGTCCGCCACCGACGCCCCATGACAGCCCCGACAAACGCGCACCGCGTCAGTAAAAGGAAAAGAGCGCCGTCGAGCGAGGGAAAAAGAAGCACGGAATCGGCCCGAGCACACGTGTCGCTTACGAAACACCCTTCTTCTCTCCCGCCTCCCGCTCAAGGGCAAGTGTTGCCCCCAACAAGCTATCTACGGCCGTGCGAGGGCTGTCTTCGGCGCTTTCGCCGGCCCCTCTAAAGCCCCGCCGAATCACGCCTCTTCTACCCGCCGAATGTACGCTAAACGGGTCGGCGAGCGCGCCGACAACACAAACGATACTCACCATAGCGAGCAGGAGGGACTGGCCTGCTCCCGCACTAACAGGTCAGTGTGTTAAATGGGCGGTATGGCGCACAACTCACCTGCGTGAAGGGCGGCGATTCGATGTCGGACGGCGGGACAGGGCGGAAGGCTGAAACAAGGCGAGCCACGCAGCACGCGGACCGATACGGCACTGACCGGGGAGGCGACTTGAAGGACCACTGCGGAGACACGTCTCGCGGGACCAAAGGCTGCTTACGGAACAAGCGACAAACTGCCTGTTTTGAGCCGAGCGGGGGAAAATTTGGGACGGAGACTCACAGCGCTGAAGGGTGGGACTCCGAATGGCGCAGGGGAGACTCTTGGTCAGCCGGTGAGTATCTCCGTGGAATGAGCAGCAGTACTCGCTCGCAACTCACCATTGGCAATCGTCAGCATTCACCGTTTCGTCCCCGCGCCCCAAGCCTACCAATCGAACGAATGACAAGCAAGCAAGCTCGGCAACGACGCCGAATCAAATCGCTGGGCAACATCAGTGTCGTTCTCAACGAGAAAAGCAGTCGAAACACTGACTTTGCGACGGGTGGCCATCGCCTTACTCGTATTCGCGCGGTCGACGGCCTCAGGAACTGGAGGGCAAGCCTGGCGAGGCTGGTCAGCGCGGGGGAGGGCTAGAAAAGCGTGAAGGGGAAGGGCTATAGAAGCGTGAAGGTATGGCACCGTGTTGTGTTTCCGCACGGACGCAGCTGACCAGCGAGTCAGTAAACCGGCGACAAACTTCAAGTTGGCAGCACATACGGCTAAAGTTTAAACGCGCCGATGAAGCGGGCCTCAGCAATGCCTTCGGTCGTGTCCGACGACGGGGATCCGCCCGCCTCGAAGATCAAAGTCGGCTGGTGCACAAGTGAAGAACTTCCGTCGAAGATGGTCAGCGTGAAGATTTGGCAACGGCAGCGGGGAGAAGGTACGGCACTGCTTTCCGATTTTGATACAACTCACATTGAGCGGAAGGAACGTGTTGGAGCCTAACAACAATGTGACGCGTCGCGCGCAGCAAGACTAGAACGAGTCAGCACTTGTTCACAGCAGAAACCCTGCCGCTTACTTCGCAGTAGACTAACCGCCATGTGTCCGCAGGGCACTGACCGAACATATACACAAACACAACCCGACGCCTCGATAAGAAATCAGCAACTTGGAGAGCAACGTTGAGAAATACCTTAATCTTCCCCCGTCCGCGCAGTCACGCTCCCCCGCCTGCCGCGATCGCACGATCGCACAACCCGGAGCGGTCACGGTTGCGGCACTCCCCTGCCTTCCTTGTGCACCCTCTGAACAACCCGCGAACGCCTGGCCATCCACAACGGCAAGCGGCAGGCCAGCCTGCCGGACGGCAGGACATGGGGTCAGCAAACTATCTATGGCTATGCTACAGCCGTCCCCGGCGCTTTCGCCGGCGCTGCAGCGAGGACGGCGACGGTGCGAATGATGGCCACGCGGATCGCACGCGGGAGGGAGTGCCTTGGTCCCGAAGGACGCGTATAACAATGCTGAAAGGTCAGTGTGTCAAACGCATGGTAGCTAGGCGCAAGACTCACCTGTGTTAAGGGTAGCGGGCCGAAATTCGATGTTGGGTGGGGCGGAGCCCAACCGGGAGAGCGGATTACTCACCAGCGCCGAGTAGTCGGCCTTGGCCGCCTTGCGAAGCGATCTGGGGACAAACGATGTCAGCGCCGGGCAGAATGACAACAAAACTTGCTGGGAACCAACCCGCGAACGCCCAACGGCAAGCGGCAGGCCACTGCCTGCCCGACGGCAAGAGCTAACTATCTATGGCTATGCTACCGCTGTCCCCGGCGCTTTCGCCGGCGCCTCAGCCCGCCGAATCGGCGGTGCAGCGAGGACGGCGACAGTGGGAATGATGGCCACGCGTTCACGCGGATCGCAAGCGGGAGGGAGTGGCTTGGTGCTGGAGGACGTGTAAGGCGATGGTGAAGGTCAGTGTGTCAAACGCGCGGTAGCTATGGCGCAAAACTCACATGTGTGAAGGGATCGGGCCGAAAATCGACGTCGGGTGGGGCGGAGCTGAGCCGGGAGCATGGATTACTCACTAGCGCCGAGCAGTCGTCCCCGCGAAGCGATCTGCGGAGAAACAAAGTTAGCGCAGGGCAAAATGACGACAAAACCTGAGGCAAACCTGGCAAAGTTGGTCAGCGCGGAAAAGGGCAATGAAAGTGTGAAGGTATGACGAATGTACACAGCTGACAACGAGCTAGTTAATGTCGCGCAAGACGCTGAAGGTCAGTGTCAAACGCGCGGTAGCTCTGGTGCGAAACTCACCTGTGTTAAGGTAGCGGGTCGCAATTCGATGTCGGGTGGGGTGGAGCGGAACCGAGAGAGTGGATTACTCACCAGCGGCGAGCAGTCGGCCTTGCGAAGCGATCTGCGGAGAGACAAAGTTAGCGCCGGGCAGAATGAGGACAAAACTTGCTAGAGACCGACTCCGAGCCTGCGCGCATGACGGCAACAACGCAAGACGACTATCCGCAATGAGCAAACAATCCTTCAAGTTATTGTGCATCCTGGACTCACCTTCAGTGCCGCAGTCGGATGGATGAGTGAGGAACTTCAAGAGAATGCCATGAAGATAACTCACTAGCGGCTAGCCAAGCGATAACGATGGCACTGCGCTTATTCGCAAGATCGCCGCCGCAAGGACCTGGCAAAGTTGGTCAGCGCGGAGAAGTGCAATGGAAGCATGAAGGTACGGCACCGTTTTCCGAATGGACACAGCTGACAACGAGTTAGGCAAGAATGTCGCGCAAGAGAAGACTATCATGGGGTCAGCATGGCTATGCAAGGGACGAAAACACTACTTGGTCAAGCGCGCGGGCATTGCTAAGAGAACGAAAACATGTCAGCACAAGTCTTTTTTTGAGAAGAACACTGACCGTCGCAGGTCCGGCGCTTGCAAACTTGAGGCGGAAACGGACTGGAGCCACGAGCGCCCTGGTAACTATCGTCAGCGAAATGAACGGCGAAAGATGGGAGCAGCGGCGAGGGACGAGAAATAGGTCTCGCCGCGAAGCCCGAGGTATGTTGACAACAAGTCAGCACGCCAAAGAGGACGGTGACAATAACGCACCAGTGGCGGGCCAGGCGACAACAAGGAATGGGATCAGCGAGGGACGACGAATAGCGGTGAAGCCTGAAGTATGTTGACAACAAGTTAGCAACCTCAAGAGGACGAGGACAATAACGCACTGGTGGCGGCCCAAGCGATGACAAGGGAGGTGGGCGGGCGGAGGACGAGGGCCGAGATGGTATGCGTGACAACTGTTGCCTTCCGGGTTGACTTGGCTGACGAACAAAGTTAGCGTCAACGACAAGAGCGACAGTAGTCACCCACGAAATTCAAGACGTCGACCGGAGACGATTGATGCTGTTGCCTGTGAACAACGGTCAGCGAGGGGAGGAGGAACGAGGAGCGAAGAACGGGCAGGGTCCACCAATGAAGTTGATGGGCGCTAACAACGGCTGTGAAGCCGCCTCAACGACGAGCACTGGAGGAGAATCAGCAAGGGGAGGCAACGACGAGTAACATTGCACCAGACAATGGAGAGGAAGGAGGGAGACGGACATGCACGACGACACCAACGACAACGACGCCGGTCGACTGCAAAGTCAACACCACGTGATAGAGCAAAGGCCGCAGAGGGGAGCGGAAAGCGCGCAGGGCGACAACGATGACGAGGACGACCCAAGGGGGAGGGAAAGTGGGAGGCAGATGGGGGGAAAGGAAGAGAGTGGTTGGGCGAAGATCGAGGGAGGGAACAAACTTATAGTGGTGGGGCAACAGCGGCCCAGCGATGTCATTATCGGAGCGAAAGACAAGCTTCGCTCATACGTCAGCGGAAGAAGTCTGTCCATCGAAGGTGGCGACAGGATCCACCTGTCAAGCGGACTCAGTGCGGCCATTTGGTTGGTAAGACGGACTTCTTCACCATGATGGCGGAAATTTAAGTTGATCTACTGAGATCGTACGATGTTGTGGCGCGATAAGCGTTGAGGTGCTCTCGGCAGACAACGGCGAAAGATGGCTACAGGTTCTCTGAAGTATGTCTGTCCATCGGTGCGGAGGGAGATCAGCCCGGCAATACCGGGGGGTCAGCGGCCCGATTCGGAATCGACAGGTGTGCTCGAAAACATACATAGAGGTACAAGAGGAGAGCTGGGGATCTCTGGAGCTGACGGATATTACATAGGCTAAGGAACTGAGGAAATGAGTAACTTGGAGAAAAAAACAAAATGTTGAAGACATGCTCTGTGCAAAAGGTCATACAGAACAAGTGGGAGGAGAGAGAAGAGTGACGAGCAACCAGCAGGGCCAGGACGACGTTCCAGTCACCTCGCTAAGGGCCACTTGTCGCCATTCTTCGGCCGCCTGGCACATGTCCACTAAGACCCTCACAACGTGTGTAGCTTCTCTTCGGTTACCTTGGCCGCATTACCTACATCTGCAGCTTCCATTCATCCACTGCCCGTCGCCCGATGCCTCCCCGAAACTACTCAGCTGCGTTGCTGTCCGCCTTAATCCCGCTACTCCGCACCATGCCCGCACGGCTTCTTGACACCTGCGATCACGTCGGCGGGCAACTCGGGCTGGTGACGCAACCTTGCCCTCTATCACCTCCCACACGTGCATGCCGCTCTTCAACCGCACCTTCGTTTGTTGACGTGACAAGACCACCGTCACATCAAACGCTTGTTGACTTCACACCACGACCATCCCTTAGCACTATCGCGGTGCTCGACGCACTCGCCATCCCGTACGTCCGCAAACCTCGTGGCCTTCACATTCCATACTCACACTCCTCTCTGTCTCCAGAACCCACCCCCGGCATGTCTGGCGCGCAGCAGTCTACACACCCGTGTCAACCGATTCCGCCGACAACAACTGCAGCCAGTGCGTCCATAACTGCTCAGCTTTACACCACTGAAACTTCTTCTCCAGAGCCGCCAAGATCTTCAACGCAGCATCTCTCGCCCTCTCCGCTCTGAGTGGCCAAATTTGCACTCATCTCCGACAAGTCATAAATCCGAGCTCACCATCCTACTTCCAGTCTTCAGGCTCAACATCGGCGCCTGGCACTACCAATAGAGAATTCTGTGGCCTCAACCGGTATGTATTGTTTCCGTTATCTCTTTTTGCCCGCTAACATGACTTCTAGCGCTACTGTAGTAATTAGACCATAAGTTCATCAATTTTGAATTTTTTCATGCCCGAGAGGGCCGAAAAATTTTCTTTTGATTTTAGGTGAATTTTAACGCGATGTTTTTTTGGCCTGATTACGCATTACGCGAACTTGTGGTCTAATTACTACAGTACTTCAACTCCTACCTCCGCTCCGTCTTCCCGCCACATGTTTTCACCGACTACTCCATCATCCAAGACAACTTCCCCGCGCCGCTTCTTCTTGCCTACCTGGGTACCTAAGTATGTTGGGAGGGGGAACCTCTGCTGGTATGATTGTTGATCATTCCTAGCTGACTTTGGACTAACAATCAACTATAGATTTGTCATTTCCTATCCAGCTGGCGGGCCACGGTGTGTTTTGGGGCCCAATTTCGGCGGTTTCGATGGTAATTTCGGACATCACCGGCGATTACGTAAGCAGATTCGGAGCGTCATTTTGGCCGACGAATATTGACTTTTTTTCACAGGATTTTTACCCGCCGGAGGCACATGCCGACCGGACTCAACGCTGCGATGCCAGGGCCCTGCTCCTGGCCCTGCCGGCCGGCTCAAGTGTGGCCGCCAGCTGACACCGCTGGAGGCGTGCGCAACATCCTGTTGCCCGCCGGCTTCGTTGCCCGCCGCCTCCCCGTCCATCGCCATCGTTGATGGTGCATCAGACCGATGATGCGCGTGTATGTAAGTTGATGTTCTTCTGTGGTTTTTGTTCTTGCTGACCTAATCCACAGACCCCCAGCTTGCAACTCCATCCACTGGTGTCCTTGCTCTCCGCGAGCGGCGCCGGCTGCCGGATCATTGATATCATCAATTATTGATGGTATTTTGAGGTGTGTCGGAACCCCTTCTTTTCGCGATTTAAGGCTCAATTTCTCACAGGTCCGGGCCGCCGGAGGCGATCGTCACCGCACGGCTGTCAATCAAGACGGCACAGTGGTTCTGCCACTGTTGCCGTTGACTGGTATGTTGCATTCTGATATTTTGGCTCAATCTTAACCATTTCGCAGTGTCTGTCATTGCCTACCTGCCCGTCGGCCACGCTTGGCTCAGCGGTGCCACGGCCCGCTCCTCCTCTGTCTGTGGCCAACAACTCTTATCGCCGAGCACTCTTTCCCCAGCCCGGCTCTATCATGGCCGGATCGTAGCCTGCTCAATTGCGGCCACTTCCCCGCTATCGCGCATTTCCCGCTACCAATCTCGGCACCCTCTGCTGGGTCGTCCCGCTCCTCGTTCCCACCACCCTCCTCCAATTCCATCTCTGTTCCGCACCGCCTCCCGTGAACAAGCCAGCGACCTTCCATGCGGCTCCGCGATGTTCTTGGGGCAGCCACCGCTGCCTCCCGTGCCTCAGCCGCCAGCCCGGGTTCCACTTGCTGCCAAGCTTCGGTGCTCTCAGCGCACGTGCCGCGGCATCTGTCCCAGACTTCCCGCCTCGACTTTTACTTGCCGTGAAGGAGACAGCGACACATTGCTGTTGGAGCCCTAGAAATCACGCGTCAAACGCCAGTGTCCGACTTCGCTCCTGCCCAACTTGAAGTCCCGCAGTCAGTCTCGACCTGTTGCCAGCACGCTCGGGAGACTTGAAGCTCAGGGAGAAAGCACGCGCGCCAGAGACGCCGAGTACCTTGGAGTCTGCCACGCGTGTGCTGTCGTCGGAACTCGCCCAAACTGCGGGGGACAAGGTGGAGGGACTCAGAGAAATGGGGAGAGTTTAGAAAGCGGTGTTGGTGCAGTGTTGGACTTGTGCGGCGGGAGAGCCTAAGCATGCGTCGCGTCTTAAAGACTGCGCGCGTTGGACTTGGCACATTTTGATGGGATTAAACGCGTCGCGCGACGCGTCGTTAATTAACGCGCCGATGTACCTCTTAAAATAGCCAATATATGACTTTACACTGTATCAAGTTGACTGCCCGGAAAGCCCGAGTGAAATCCATCCAAACACGCCCCCAAACCCAAATTTTCTCCAGCTGCTGGACGCACAAGGTACTCAGGTGACCTTGTTTATAGGTCCGTGCGCGGGCCAACGGGGTATATTAGAAGGGCTCCTCGCTCGCGCGACTTGGCGAGCGAGCGCGACTTAGCGTTGGAGCGAGCCGTGCAACGGGGGGTAACAGCGTGTGAACAATATTATGTATATACACTGAATTACCGTCCCCGTACGAAGTTGTGTATAATCTAGCATAAATAGGTAAACGTCCGCGTCACCGGTCCGCCTCTCCCTCCGAATCCGCGATGTACGGCGGCGGCGGCGCGCCGGCGAGTGTCGCCTCGAGCTGGGCGAGCCGTGCCTCGAGCAGCCGTTCACGTGCGGTCACCGCGGACGTTGGCGTGCCCGTGCTCGGCGTGTCGGGCGACAATGGAGACGGGTGTGTTTCTGTTTGGGTGTGCAGACCCGGGAGGAGCCGGGCCGTCGACGCCGTCGCGGTACCGGTGGGCGAGGCGCCGTACCCCGCTTCCCCTACACCAACAATCCATCAGCTTCGAATTCGATCCTGAAAACTGCACTCACGCGCTTTCGAGAGCTGCTCCGCCGACACGCCTGTCTCCACGTCCGTCTCCACAAACGGATGCACGAGCAGCGTGCGCCTGACGCGGCCCCGTGACCCGCCACCGCTCATCTCGATGGCCTCTTCCACTCCCATCGGTCCGTCGGGCTTGTAGTCCGTGACCGGCCGCGCAACAAGGAGGCTGTGTCGCCGTCGCTGGCGGCCCCTCCGTCTGTGCAGGCAAAGAGCCAGGCCAACGATGATTATGGCCCCGAGTGTGCCAAACACGGCGCCGAGGATGGCAGCAATGTGCGACGCAGACTTGGGCGGGGCGGCTGCAGGAGCCCCAGAGGCCCCGGAGTTGGTACTGGGTGAATTGGAGTTGGACACAGTGTTAGTAGTCGCTCCGGAAGAGACAATGGCGCCCGCCGCGCTGCCAGCCGGGGTGGAGTGGGTGCTGGGCGGTCTACAGACGATAAGGTCAAGTAACGCAGGGCGGGATGGGGCTCACGAGGAAGACAGTGAATGCGGTCCAGACCCTGTCAGGGGCGCGGAAGTCGTCGCACCGGTACCGCTCGACGGCAACTTTGACTCTCCTGTGCTGCCACCGCCCTGTGGCGCGGGTCCCGGTCCGGGCGCCGGATCGGCGGTCCCGGCGGTAACTACTGCGTAGTCGAATAGCGCCGCCTGCAAGTCCCGGGGGCTGCCCGCATGCGTATTGAACACCCACGACACCGTGTGCGGACCATTTGTCAGCCCGGAGGCAGCGAAGAAGAGGGTGCGGTACGCGAAGCGCGCGCTGCCGGCGTACCAGAATGTTGAGGAGGGGGAAGAGTCGAGCGTGAAGACGATGTCGGGCATGGAGGTGTCCTGCGCGATGCGGCCGAGCCTGTCGGGATGCTGTCAGCAAGAAAGGGGTGGGAAAGGGGCCACGCACCTGAGAAGGAGAAGGTCCCGCCGGTTTTCTCGGCGCTGCCCCGCATGGAAGACGATGTCGGTGTCCTGCGCGATGCCGTAGATGGTCCCGCCCTCGACCTGGCAGGGGCCCGCCACGTGTCTTCGTCGACGTGTCCGCCACCGACGCCGCATGACAGCCCCGACAAACGCGCACCACGTCAGTGAGGGGAAAAGAGCGCCGTCGAGCGAGGGAAAAAGAAGCACGGAATCGGCCCGAGCACACGTGTCGCTTACGAAACACCCTTCCTTCTCTTCTCTCCCGCCTCCCGCTCAAGGGCAAGTGTAGCCCCCAACAAGCTATCTACGGCCGTGCGAGGGCTGTCTTCGGCGCTTTCGCCGGCCCCTCTAAAGCCCGCCGAATCACGCCTCTTCTACCCGCCGAATGTACGCTAAACGGGTCGGCGAGCGCGCCGACAACACAAACGATACTCACCATAGCGAGCAGGAGGGACTGGCCCGCTCCCGCGGAACATCTATGGCAGCACTAACAGGTCAGTGTGTTAAATGGGCGGTATGGCGCACAACTCACCTGCGTGAAGGGCGGCGATTCGATGTCGGACGGCGGGACAGGGCGGGAGGCTGAAACAAGGCGAGCCACGCAGCACGCGGACCGATACGGCACTGACCGGGGAGGCGACTTGAAGGACCACTGCGGAGACACGTCTCGCGGGACCAAAGGCTGCTTACGGAACAAGCAACAAACTGCATGCGAGCAGGGGGAAATTTGGGATGGAGACTCACAGCGCTGAAGGGTGGGACTCCGAATGGCGCAGGGGAGACTCTTGGTCAGACGGTGAGTATCTCCGTGGAATGAGCAGCAGTACTCGCTCGCAACTCACCATTGGCAATCGTCAGCATTCACCGTTTCGTCCCCGCGCCCCAAGCCTACCAATCGAACGAATGAAAAGCAAGCAAGCTCGGCAACGACGCTGAATCAAATCGCTGGGCAACATCAGTGTCGTTCTCAACGAGAAAAGCAGTCGGAACACTGACTTTGCGACGGGTGGCCATCGCCTTACTCGTATTCGCGCGGTCGACGGCGTCAGGAACTGCAGGGCAAGCCTGGCGAGGCTGGTCAGCGCGGGGGAGGGCTAGAAAAGCGTGAAGGGGAAGCCTGCCCGACGGCAAGAGCTAACTATCTATGGCTATGCTACAGCCGTCCCCGGCGCTTTCGCCGGCGCCTCAGCCCGCCGAATCGGCGCTGCAGCGAGGACGGCGACGGTGCGAATGATGGCCACGCGGATCGCACGCGGGAGGGAGTGCCTTGGTCCCGAAGGACGCGTATAACAATGCTGAAAGGTCAGTGTGTCAAACGCATGGTAGCTATGGCGCAAGACTCACCTGTGTTAAGGGTAGCGGGCCGAAATTCGATGTTGGGTGGGGCGGAGCCCAACCGGGAGAGCGGATTACTCACCAGCGCCGAGTAGTCGGCCTTGGCCGCCTTGCGAAGCGATCTGGGGACAAATGATGTCAGCGCCGGGCAGAATGACAACAAAACTTGCTGGGAAGCAACCCGCGAACGCCCAACGGCAAGCGGCAGGCCACTGCCTGCCCCCGACGGCAAGAGCTAACTATCTATGGCTATGCTACCGCTGTCCCCGGCGCTTTCGCCGGCGCCTCAGCCCGCCGAATCGGCGGTGCAGCGAGGACGGCGACAGTGGGAATGATGGCCACGCGTTCACGCGGATCGCAAGCGGGAGGGAGTGGCTTGGTGCTGGAGGACGTGTAAGGCGATGGTGAAGGTCAGTGTGTCAAACGCGCGGTAGCTATGGTGCAAAACTCACATGTGTGAAGGGATCGGGCCGAAAATCGACGTCGGGTGGGGCGGAGAAGGGCAATGGAAGCATGAAGGTACGGCACCGTTTTCCGAATGGACACAGCTGACAACGAGTTAGGCAAGAATGTCGCGCAAGAGAAGACTATCATGGGGTCAGCATGGTTATGCAAGGGACGAAAACACTACTTGGTCAAGCGCGCGGGCATTGCTAAGAGAACGAAAACATGTCAGCACAAGTCTTTTTTTGAGAAGAACACTGACCGTCGCAGGTCCGGCGCTTGCAAACTTGAGGCGGAAACGGACTGGAGCCACGAGCGCCCTGGTAACTATCGTCAGCGAAATGAACGGCGAAAGATGGGAGCAGCGGCGAGGAACGAGAAATAGGTCTCGCCGCGAAGCCCGAGGTATGTTGACAACAAGTCAGCACGCCAAAGAGGACGGTGACAATAACACACCAGTGGCGGGCCAGGCGACAACAAGGAATGGGATCAGCGAGGGACGACGAATAGCGGTGAAGCCTGAAGTACTATGCTGACAACAAGTTAGCAACCTCAAGAGGACGAGGACAATAACGCACTGGTGGCGGCCCAAGCGACGACAAGGGAGGTGGGCGGGCGGAGGACGAGGGCCGAGATGGTATGCGTGACAACTGTTGCCTTCCGGGTTGACCTGGCTGACGAACAAAGTTAGCGTCAACGACAAGAGCGACAGTAGTCACCCACGAAATTCAAGACGTCGACCGGAGACGATTGATGCTGTTGCCTGTGAACAACGGTCAGCGAGGGGAGGAGGAACGAGGAGCGAAGAACGGGCAGGGTCCACCAATGAAGTTGAGGGCGCTAACAACGGCTGTGAAGCCGCCTCAACGACGAGCACTGGAGGAGAATCAGCAAGGGGAGGCAACGACGAGTAACATTGCACCAGACAATGGAGAGGAAGGAGGGAGACGGACATGCACGACGACACCAACGACAACGACGCCGGTCGACTGCAAAGTCAACACCACGTGATAGAGCAAAGGCCGCAGAGGGGAGCGGAAAGCGCGCAGGGCGACAACGATGACGAGGACGAGGACGACCCAAGGGGGAGGGAAAGTGGGAGGCAGATGGGGGGAAAGGAAGAGAGTGGTTGGGCGAAGATCGAGGGAGGGAACAAACTTATAGTGGTGGGGCAACAGCGGCCCAGCGATGTCATTATCGGAGCAAAAGACAAGCTTCGCTCATACGTCAGCGGAAGAAGTCTGTCCATCGAAGGTGGCGACAGGATCCACCTGTCAAGCGGACTCAGTGCGGCCATTTGGTTGGTAAGACGGACTTCTTCACCATGATGGCGGAAATTTAAGTTGATCTACTGAGATCGTACGATATTGTGGCGCGATAAGCGTTGAGGTGCTCTCGGCAGACAACGGCGAAAGATGGCTACAGGTTCTCTGAAGTATGTCTGTCCATCGGTGCGGAGGGAGATCAGCCCGGCAATACCGGCGGGTCAGCGGCCCGATTCGGAATCGACAGGTGTGCTCGAAAACATACATAGAGGTACAAGAGGAGAGCTGGGGATCTCTGGAGCTGACGGATATTACATAGGCTAAGGAACTGAGGAAATGAGTAACTTGGAGAAAAAAACAAAATGTTGAAGGCATGCTCTGTGCAAAATGTCATACAGAACAAGTGGGAGGAGAGAGAAGAGTGACGAGCAACCAGCAGGGCCAGGACGACGTTCCAGTCATCTCGCTAAGGGCCACTTGTCGCCATTCTTCGGCCGCCTGGCACATGTCCACTAAGACCCTCACAACGTGTGTAGCTTCTCTTCGGTTACCTTGGCCGCATTACCTACATCTGCAGCTTCCATTCATCCACTGCCCGTCGCCCGATGCCTCCCCGAAACTACTCAGCTGCGTTGCTGTCCGCCTTAATCCCGCTACTCCGCACCATGCCCGCACGGCTTCTTGACACCTGCGATCACGTCGGCGGGCAACTCGGGCTGGTGACGCAACCTTGCCCTCTATCACCTCCCACACGTGCATGCCGCTCTTCAACCGCACCTTCGTTTGTTGACGTGACAAGACCACCGTCACATCAAACGCTTGTTGACTTCACACCACGACCATCCCTTAGCACTATCGCGGTGCTCGACGCACTCGCCATCCCGTACGTCCGCAAACCCCGTGGCCTTCACATTCCATACTCACACTCCTCTCTGTCTCCAGAACCCACCCCCGGCATGTCTGGCGCGCAGCAGTCTACACACCCGTGTCAACCGATTCCGCCGACAACAACTGCAGCCAGTGCGTCCATAACTGCTCAGCTTTACACCACTGAAACTTCTTCTCCAGAGCCGCCAAGATCTTCAACGCAGCATCTCTCGCCCTCTCCGCTCTGAGTGGCCAAATTTGCACTCATCTCCGACAAGTCATAAATCCGAGCTCACCATCCTACTTCCAGTCTTCAGGCTCAACATCGGCGCCTGGCACTACCAATAGAGAATTCTGTGGCCTCAACCGGTATGTATTGTTTCCGTTATCTCTTTTTGCCCGCTAACATGACTTCTAGCGCTACTTCAACTCCTACCTCCGCTCCGTCTTCCCGCCACATGTTTTCACCGACTACTCCATCATCCAAGACAACTTCGATGTCCCGCGCCGCTTCTTCTGGGTACCTAAGTATGTTGGGAGGGGGAACCTCTGCTGGTATGATTGTTGATCATTCCTAGCTGACTTTGGACTAACAATCAACTATAGATTTGTCATTTCCTATCCAGCTGGCGGGCCACGGTGTGTTTTGGGGCCCAATTTCGGCGGTTTCGATGGTAATTTCGGACATCACCGGCGATTACGTAAGCAGATTCAAAGCGTCATTTTGGCCGACAAATATTGACTTTTTTTCACAGGATTTTTACCCGCCGGAGGCACATGCCGACCGGACTCAACGCTGCGATGCCAGGGCCCTGCTCCTGGCCCTGCCGGCCGGCTCAAGTGTGGCCGCCAGCTGACACCGCTGGAGGCGTGCGCAACATCCTGTTGCCCGCCGGCTTCGTTGCCCGCCGCCCCCCCTCCCGTCCATCGCCATCGTTGATGGTGCATCAGACCGATGATGCCCGTGTATGTGCCATTGCCATCGTTGATAGCGCATCAGCCATTGAAATCCATCCACAGGTGTTCTTCCCCTCTGCGGGCGTTGCCGGCTGCCGGATCATTGATATCATCAAATAGTGATGGCATTTTTCACAGGTCCGGGCCGCCGGAGGCGATCATCACCGCGCGGCTGTCAACCAAGTCGGCACAGTGGTTCCGCCACTATTGCTGGCTCACTGGTATGTTGTATTCTCATATTTTGACTAAATGTTAACGATCTCGCAGTGTCTGTTGTCGCCTTGCCGCTCATCGGCTACGCCCCGCTCTGTGGCGCCGCTCCTTCTCCTCCCGCTGTCCATGGCAAACCACTCCAGCATCCAAGCCCGGTCTTACCGCCGGGGCACCACTCTTGCCCAAGCCCAGCTCTATCCACTCAATCACGGCCGCAGCTGCGCACTCGCCGAGTCCTAGCCACCCACTTCGCATCTCTGTTTCGGCACCGTCACCGCTCCAACCTTTCGATGCGGCTCCGCGCCGTCCTTCAAGGCGGCCACCCTCCCGCCGACCTAGGCCTGGGTCTTGCGCAGCGCACGTGTTATGGCCGTTGGCTGCTATGTTTATCTGTGGCCAACTCCATCACGGCCGCTCATTCGGCCCTCTTTCGGGATTCACCATGACAGCCGCAAGCTTTCGCTTTTACCGGGGCACCGCTCTTGCCCGAGCCCAGCCGGATCATAGCCTGCTTAATGCTGCCCGCATGCCCCCCTATTGCGCATTCCCCGCTACCGATCTTGGCGCTGTCAGCCAGGCCGTCCCGCTCCTCGCCCTCACCAGCTTCTACCAATCATTTCTGGTCCGAAACTGTCATTGCACCACTCTTCCACCTTCTGCGCCGCGCCAGGTCCCACTTGCCGCCAATGTTTGGTGCTCTGCTGCTGCGGCATCCGTCCAGGCAATCGACTTCCGGCCCGCCTCGACTTGGGGAGCCAGCGACACGCTGGTGGAGCGTTGTCCAGCCGCGTCCCCGAATTCCCTCCTGCGCATGACCCGGAGTCAGCCGCGGCCTGTTGCTGGCACGGGGGGATGTGATTCCCACCTCGGTAGACAACCCCGGGGAGAAAGCACGCGCGCCGGAGACGCCGTCGGCCCTATGGGAGGCAAACGAGCCCAAACTGCGGGGGACAAGGTGGAGGGACTCAGAGAAATGGGGAGAGTTTAGAAAGCGGTGTTGATGCAGTGTTGGACTTGTGCGGCGGGAGAGCCTAAGCATGCGTCGCGTCTTAAAGACTGCGCGCGTTGGACTTGGCACATTTTGATGGGATTAAACGCGTCGCGCGACGCGTCGTTAATTAACGCGCCGATGTACCTCTTAAAATAGCCAATATATGACTTTACACTGTATCAAGTTGACTGCCCGGAAAGCCCGAGTGAAATCCATCCAAACACGCCCCCAAACCCAAATTTTCTCCAGCTGCTCGACGCACAAGGTACTCAGGTGACCTTGTTTATAGGTCCGTGCGCGGGCCAACGGGGTATATTAGAAGGGCTCCTCGCTCGCGCGACTTGGCGCGCGAGCGCGAGCCGTGCAACGGGGGGTAACAGCGTGTGAACAATATTATGTATCTACACTGAATTACCGTCCCCGTACGAAGTTGTGTATAATCTAGCATAAATAGGTAAACGTCCGCGTCACCGGTCCGCCTCTCCCTCCGAATCCGCGATGTACGGCGGCGGCGGCGGCCCCGGCGAGCGTCGCCTCGAGCTGTGCGAGCCGCGCCTCGAGCAGCCGCTCGCGCGCGGTCACCGCGGACGTTGGCGTGCCCGTGCTCGGCGTGTCGGGCGACAATGGAGACGGGTGTGTTTCTGTTTGGGTGTGCAGACCCGGGAGCAGCCGGGCCGTCGACGCCGTCGCGGTACCGGTGGGCGAGGCGCCGTACCCCGCTTCCCCTACACCAACAATTCATCAGCTTCGAATTCAGGAATCAGGATTGAAAACTGCACTCACGCGCTTTCGAGAGCTGCTCCGCCGACACGCCTGTCTCCACGTCCGTCTCCACAAACGGATGCACGAGCAGCGTGCGCCTGACGCGGCCCCGTGACCCGCCACCGCTCATCTCGATAGCCTCTTCCACCCCCATCGGTCCGTCGGGCTTGTAGTCCGTGACCGGCCGCGCAACAAGGAGGCTGTGTCGCCGTCGCTGGCGGCCCCTCCGTCTGTGCAGGCAAAGAGCCAGGCCAACGATGATCGCGGCCCCGAGTGTGCCAAACACGGCGCCGAGGATGGCAGCAATGTGCGACGCAGACTTGGGCGGGGCGGCTGCAGGAGCCCCAGAGGCCCCGGAGTTGGTACTGGGTGAATTGGAGTTGGACACAGTGTTAGTAGTCGCTCCGGAAGAGACAATGGCGCCCGCCGCGCTGCCAGCCGGGGTGGAGTGGGTGCTGGGCGGTCTACAGACGATAAGGTCAAGTAACGCAGGGCGGGATGGGGCTCACGAGGAAGACAGTGAATGCGGTCCAGACCCTGTCAGGGGCACAGAAGTCGTCGCACCGGTACCGCTCGACGGCAACTTTGACTCTCCTGTGCTGCCAACGCCCTGTGGCGCGGGCGCGGGTCCCGGTCCCGGTCCGGGCGCCGGATCGGCGGTCCCGGCGGTAACTACTGCGTAGTCGAATAGCGCCGCCTGCAAGTCCCGGGGGCTGCCCGCATGCGTATTGAACACCCACGACACCGTGTGCGGGCCATTGGTCAGTCCAGAGGCAGCGAAGAACAGTGTACGGTACAAGAACCGCTCGCTGCCGGCGTACCAGAATGTTGAGGAGGGGGAAGAGTCGAGCGTGAAGACGATGTCGGGCATGGAGGTGTCCTGCGCGATGCCGTAGATGGACACCGCCGAACCTGTCGGGGTTAGGTCAGCAAGAAAGGGGCGGAAAGGGGCTACCCGAAAGAACACGGACCCGAGAAGGAGAGGCTCCCGCCGGTTTTCTCGGCGCTGCCCCGCATGTAGTTCCCGTCGTGGAACGTCCCGCCCTCGACCTGGCTTATGTCAGGCTTCGACGCACACCCATCGCATGGTTTCTCTGGTGAGACGGCGGTCCACTCGCCGGTGAACGTCCATTGCGACGAGGTGTCGTCGACGGTGGTGGTGGAAACTGCTGCGGAGACAGACGGCGGGAACTTGAAAAACGACAGCAAGAGTGAAAGGAGGGGGAGGCGAACGAGTGTGTGTGGTGGGTGGCCTACTCGTAGCATGGCATTGCGCTGGGTGCAAGCTGCGGTGGGAGGAAGGAAGCTTAAGGAGAGAGGGAGAGGAGCAAAAACGCGGGAGTGGGACGATCGATGATCGGCGAGGCCCCATCCGACCGAAGAAGGACGGAAAGGGAACGCCATCACGTCGCGGGCCCTGTGCCGGTGCTGCCGTCGTCATTGGCAACCCGATTTTTCGGCGTTGCGTCGCCGCGGCCAATGCAATCGTGCAGCTAAAGTGATTGTACGAGCGGGACTGAGGTGCCCTGTGGACGAAGCGCGGTGAATGGTAGCCAGATTCCCAGCCACCCAATGCAATTAGCAGAATGCCACTTCCTCGTGTGGTTCCCGCCAAGTTCCCGCATGATATTGGATACCTCCAGGTACGGCAGCCGCCAACAATGATTATGTTACAGCAGCCCGGGGTCGCCGTTTTTCCGCTGCGTAGATGCGTTCCATTAGCTGCACGGCGTCCTCAGTGATGTCCGCCCACGCCTCTCTCGCCCTGCCCGAAATCCAAGCCTGAGCAGCCACTTCAGAAAGGACGTCAAAGCGGTCCCCGGCCCACTGCCCGACCTGCAGCACCTCCGGAGTGACGCCGGGCTCCGTGAGATATTTGAGCCCCAGCAAGTCTGTGGACCAGCAAAGACGGGGTAAGAGCACCGAGGCATAGGACACATCTGGAATGCCGGTCGTGAACTCGGCCAGCTCCTCGCCGCGAATATATTCCTGCTTCGAGAGGTTCCGCAAGATCCCGGCCAAAGCCGAGGGCGCTAACTGTGCAGCGTGGGCCCGCGCGGGCTCGCCGATGAAAGCTGCACAGAGCTCCTCCGCGTCAGAAAGTGCCGCCCGGAATGGCCTCGCGCTGTACTTGGCCCGCAGTCGGCGCTCGGACTCGTTCCACAGGGCCCACACAATGTCAGGCAGCGAGAGCGGGCGCGGCCGGGCGGTGCAAGCATCTGCCAGCAATCCCGCGAGGATCGGGGGTCGGAGCGGCACCGGGACAAGGGTGTCGGATGGGCGTAGACAAGCCAGTCGGTCCCCACGCCACGACCGCTGGGGCTCCGCGGCGAGCAGCCGTGCGAAGAGAGCGGGGCGGCCGACGAGCCAGAGCAGCTGACACGTGCTGCTGAGCAGGAAGAGCTCCACGAATTCGGCCACGTGGCTGAGCACTTCGCGGAGGAGCTCTTCAGGCAGGTCGATGAGTCGGGAGCTGACCAAGTTATGGCATGCAAATATATCTGGATAGCACTCACCGCTGTGCTCTGGGCCGCTGCATCCGATATCGCACCCCGCCAACCCGAAGAATTTCGCCTGCCCGATATGCCCGTACAATCTCGTCCAGCGACGCGCTCGGCGCACGAAGGTAGTCCCCGATTTCGGACGCAGGCCCGCCAAACAACAGCTGCCTCAGCGCAAAGTCGCTGCACAACGACTGGTTCTTGTCGAGGTTGACAATCTGCCACTTTGTTGACATCGACGTTGGAGAGGAAGACGTTGTTGACAAATTGATGGCGTGACAGTCACGTCGTCCCACGCTGTCATCACCTTCTTCTCCGCCCCACTCTCACTTCCTTCCACAACCGACTAGCTTTCTGAGAGCTGAATGCCTCCGACATCTGGCAAACGGCAGTCGCTGTACAGCGACTTTATGCTGCCCCAGCTTATGTTTGGCGGGCCCGCGTTGGACATCGGGGCCTGCAAGCGCGTCACTGGACGAAATCGTGCTGGCGTATCGGCCAGGGGAAGTCCTTCGAGTCGGACGCACGCCCTCTTCAAACCGCTGCTCGCCCCCCAGCTCCTACGCTCTGACATGCTTGTCCCGGTGCTTCGGAGTCTTCGCCGCAGTGAGGGCAGATGCTTGCACCGCCCGGCCGCAACCGCTCTCGCTACCCGACATCGTCTGGGCCCTCTGGAATGAGAGCGAGCGCCGGCTCCGGATCAAATACGCCGCCGCACCGTTCCGGGCCACGCTCTCCGACGCGGAGGCGCTGTGTGCGGCGTTTATCGACGAGCCTGCCACGCGCTACCTGCAGCCTTCAGCCGTACCCGACATATTGCGCAATTTAACGACGCGGGAATATATTCGCGACGCGGCGATGGTCGAGTTCAGCACCAACGGCATCCCATACGTGTCATACGCCTCGGTGCTCTTCCCACGGCTTTGTTGGTCCGCGGAACCAGAGCCAGGCATTTCCCGGGAGGTGCACTTTGGGGGGTGGGCGGGCCACCGATTCGACGTCCTCCCCGAGCCGGCTGTGCAGAATTGGATTGCTGGCAGAAATGCGCGCCGGTGGACGGACGTCACTGAGGACGCTGTTCAGGTCATGAAGCGCATCTGGGAAGCCGAAAACTTGAAGAAGCGACCCCGGGCCGCGATAATATGATCGGCGCTTTCAGTGCGGAGCTCGTGCCATCACCGCACCGGTACCGCGTGGCGCCGCCGTGGCCTTTTGTGTGTTTGTTCCCGATAATGCTCCTGTGGTCCTGGTGATGGACATTATGACGAGAACAAGATGCCTTTGTCTTGTCGCTGCAATGGTTGTCATGCCAGGGGATTGTGGAACAAGAATGGCTTTATGTGTGTCCTCAGGTTGGACCCACACAACGCACTGCCCTTGTACTCTGGTATAATAAATAGGATTCAAGCCTGGCGAAGCAAATCACATCGCAGCGCAAGAAAAATATTGAAGAGAAAAAAAAGCAGACCTTGGTTCATCGAAAATGCCGGTGAGCAGTGGATCCATACACACACACACCTCCGATGACCGGTAACCAGATCCAGATCCAGCCCTACAACGTCGAATGGCGGCTGCAGGAGATGAGCCCCACGGTTGTCGGCCTGCCCCGCAACTGGACGGCCCGCCTTTTCCAGCTCCGCCCAATGAGCGTCCAAGGTGGGACGGAGGCCAACCTGCCGACGGGCCGGCCGATCCCGTACCTCGGCATGACGCCAGCATACGCCCCGTGTCCGTTTACGCCGGCGGTTCTGTACCGCCCTGGCCCGTGGCCCGGCGCGCCGCCGATGGCGCAGCAGGACGTCCGCTTCGGCCGCGTGGAGCGCAAGATTGGGGAGCCGCAGCGCTATGTGTACGCCCATGAGTACGTCTTTTTGAAGCCTTCTTGGTTTGCACCCCCTCAACTATGTATATGTCAGGTATGCTGCCACCACAACGGACAGCTTTGGCTACAGCGTGAAGTACACCCTGCGCTTCTCTGTCCACTTCAACCGGGAGCGGGAGGTGGTGTTGAAGGCCCCTGGCTTTGTGGCAAGTGCTGAGTTTCAAGCTGTTGGAGCTTGACCTGGCAGTGTTAATTTCGCTTATCTTTCATAGGTCACTGTAGAGAACCTCTTTGGGCCCCGTAATAGCTACTGTGGCGGCATATGGAACAACAAGGCAGAAAATATTACCAACATTAATGCTCCCGGCGGGCCGGGCAGCTTGGATGAGCGCATATGGGCAGAGCTCACTGCAATATGGTGGTCTGTATGGCTGTCATGGGATTATTTTGTATCAATCAACTGTATTGGGTGAAGTTCTCTGTGTCTTAGAGTATCTCCTAGTAGGCTTGTTGAGCTAAAAATTGTCATGGTTTCACCCAGGCCTCCAGGCCTCTGTCAGCATCAGGCTTGGCAGGTTGGTAGTACTTGAATCATGTGATTACCTTGAGTAGGGGTCTAACTAAGTATTGAGTTTTCATTTACACCTTAAGATAAACTAAATGGAAATGATAAGAAAACATTTAAGAAATGTTTATTACCATTTAAAAAATGGCAATGTAATAATGTAAAATGATCAACACTTTTATCGTAGTATAATTCAGTTTATAAGGATTATTTAACTGAAAAATGCACTTACAATACTCACATTGGGGTTTTGGTGTCACAAACAACACCAATTCAGAGGATGCCAGTTGGCCAGTGAAGGCAAGCAAGAAGCACCGTGAAAGGATATCGTAAAGATGATGGAATTCGAAGACTGGGGTACAAGACGAAATCTACTCTACTTATATACACTACTACCATGTGTTTACCATGCCTAATACGAGAGGCAATTAGCCATGCCTTTACGTGCTGTTTGCCTTATGTCCAACTCCACGCTGTCAATCAACATCAGCATCGACATCTGATGGTCCAATCACCATCTTATCGTCCATCTTATCTCCTCCTTGTCTTATCTTATCAACCAGGGCCAAAATAAAAGGTTTAAAGGGCGAAGAAAAAGGGTTTTTAAACCCAGGGTTTGACATTACCCCCCCTTCAAGGTCGACGTCCTCGTCGACAGAGGGCATTAAAGCACGTTCATCATCCACCCCCCCTTCAGCCTCCACAAAATGGCCAGTCTGATAATTAAACAGTTTCCGGGACGGATATGGGAGCTTCTCTTGTGTCGGCTTATAGCGTTTGACCAGGTAATCCCAATGACCCTGGGCAAGGACAGGCACACTACGGGTCTTGACTACTGGGTTCTTCTGGTACAATTCTTAAGAGTTCTGGAGCCTTTGCGCAGTCTCCCATGTATCCTCGCTATGCGGATATCCCTTCCACTTCACCAGATACTGCCAACCACGACCACACTTTCGCTTCTTCATAATCTCCTCAACCTCCCACTCCTCGTGATCATCCACAATGTCCGGTGGCGGCCTTTCTTCTTGCCGGTGGGGTGGTGGCTCGTGGTAGGGTGTCAGCTCCGTCTCATTGTAGACTGGATGAGCCTGACTAGAACCTGGCATCTTGAGTTCGTATGCCGAAGGTCCAACCTTTGCCTCCACTTTGAATGGTCCCACACGTCGATCATTGAGCTTCTCGGATGGTCGATTCTGTCGCACTTTTGACCCTTCAATGTACACCTTGTCTCCGACTTTGAACTCAGGTGCTGGTACACATTTCTGGTCATAGTACTTCTTCATCCGCTCTTGGGCCTTCTTAATTGCCACTGTTGCATCCTCACGCACACGCTGCATCTTTTTCGCGAATTCTTCTGCTGCCTCGACCTTAGAGTCATATGGTCCTTCAACGCCTTTCCAGGGATGGTACCCATGATCTAGGAAGAATGGCGAGACCTTGGTCGAAGCATGAGCTTTGTCATTGTAGGCGAACTTCGGCTAACGGTAACCATTCCAACCAGTCTGATTGGTGGTGG